TTATCTCACTGTTCCACGTTGCTCATCCACCATGGGGAGAAATGAGAAAAACCATCATGTGTGTGGATGAATTGACTTCTCTTTGCTGACTCATGGCTGTCCTAACTCTCTTGCTCCTGGATAAAAGCCCAGATGAGGTGCACATCAACACAGTGACCACAATCATTCAGACTCCTAGAAGCTCTAGGTTGGGAAGAGCTAAGATTTAAATCCCTCATCTTAAAGAGAAAGAGAAAGGGACCCATATAGGGGAGAAGAATCACCTGTTCTCACGTGGTTTGAAATGGCAGGACTGGGACTAAAAGTCAGGTCTGGCTAAAATCATACCTTTTTCTCTTATGCTGCTATAGAAATTACCTGGAGAATGGAGCTTGGCATGGTTTCTAAGTCAGGGAAACCCAAACAAGAACCTTTCAAGGTATATCTCCCCAGGGAGATTGTTCCTACTAGGAGCAGGGGCTTCTGAAGCTGTCCAGGGAGTCATACAGGCTGACAGTGATGGAGCCCGTCAGTTCCTTGTCTGATTAATGAAAAACATCTAATAAACATGAGGAGAAAGGCCAAGGAGTCTAATGTTTAATTATCTGCCCAATGATTGAAAGTCTAATTTCATTTGCCTGTGCTTGTTTGTGAAGGCTCCTATATTTCCCAGCAAGGAAAGAACTTCAGAGTGCAGGGATTTAACACAGATGAATTCATTAAGGTGCTTATTAATGTATGCATCCTAGTAGCTTAATATTCCATCAGTTGTCAGCTCCTCTCAATTCTGGATGTGGAACCAGAAAATAGGGAAAACATTCTTAAGAATTTGTCACTTCAATCCAAACTTAGCAGTGTGTCTGCTGATCATTGATTATGATCCCAAGAATTAATTAATTTTCTTTTGTTTAATTATATCTTATTTTGGAATTGGATACAATTATCTTACAGTTCATATGGGTGTGTAAAAGGCCTCTGGCAGACCAGTGGGCAACAGAAGTCTTAGTGCAGAAAAATTAGTACACTGAATTTAAATAAATATGTTAATGGATATTAACTATTTTTTATGCTTTTATCTAAGTATTTTTTTTATTGAAGAACAGTTGGTTTACAATGTTGTGTCAATTTCTTGTGCACAGCACAGTGATTCAGTTACACACACTCACACACACACATACATATATTCCTTTGCATGTTCTTTTTCATTATAGGCTATTATAAGGTATTGAGTATAGTTCCCTATGCTATACAGTAGAATGTTTTGTTTAGCTGTTTGATATGTAGTAGTTAGTATCTGCAAATCCTGAACTCCCGGTTTATCCAAAAATGTGGAATGCTTCACAAAGTTTGCCTGTCATCCTTGTGCAGGGGTCACACTAATTTTCTCTGTATCGTTCCAGTTTAGTTTATGTGCTGCTGAAGTGAGTACTGTTTATTTTTCATGCATCTTAAGACACTCAGAAAAAAAAATTTTGAGGCCAAAGACTATATTAAAGTGCGAACACAAAGGGATAAACGAGCATCTTAGAGCATCTGCCAGTTACTAGGGGACCTACACCCAGAGTTTTAAGGACACTTTCGATCCAAAGGAAAGGGACAAGCCTGGAACCTAGTACTGTGAGATCAGACAGATCACCTACATTAAGCCAAGACCCCAGGTGGCAACACTATCACTGGATGAACTAGGAGGAAGAATGCCCAGAGAGGTCTCTGTGAGGTTCAAAGACACAAGATCTATATTGATATCTGAATCCTGTTCACCAGAAGTTCATGAATCAGAAGGGATGTGACAGAATTAAATTTTATCGGCATGCTTCAGGGATTTTATTTTATTTTTTATGGAGAAGTAAATGGATTGAGTAATTTTATATTTTATTAACTTAAATATGTCTGTTATATTTCTTAGGTAATCATTAAAAGAATGGCAGAATGTATAGTTTCCAAATTAGTAAAGAAGAAATATTAGCTCATTCCAAAATAAAAGAGAAAAAGGAAATAAAAGTAAAATATAGAAAACTTGGAATAGATAGAAAGCACACAATGAAACGGTGCAAACCCGACCATATCAGTAATCATAGTCAATGCAAATAGATTACTCTCTGCATTGAAAAGATTTAACTGAATAAAAATAAATAAAATCCACCTACAGACTATTTACCAGAGAAAACCTAAAACACAAAATGTACCCACAGATTGAAAAAAAAAACACAAAAATATAACAGGAAAAAAACTTACAGCCTTAGAGCTGGCATCACTGTTCAGATTTCAGATATCCTAGAGACTAAGTTCAGATAAAGATCTTTAGAAGAGGTAAAGAGGGCCATTCTGTAGAGAAAATTAATTCAATTTACTAAGAAAATTTTAAAATCTGAAATTTGTAGTCACCTAATAATACAGTTTCTAACTATGCAAAGTAAAAAATGATGAACCTTCAAGGGAAAAATGACGAGTCCACACGATAGTGAGAAAGTGTAACACATTTCTCAGTAATGAATAGATAATGTAGGTTCCTCGACATCAGTACCAAGGCTGATCGGTGGACTACTGCCCCGACAGTATTTTGTGGACAGTTCCAAGTAATTGATCGTTTTCTGTGTCAAAAAACAATTCTCAGCAAGTTTCACAAAATGATCATTAGATCACTAAATTTTTCTGACCAAAATGAAATTGTTAAATGGCAATATAAAAAGGATAAGGAATGTAAGCATAAATAAATGTATATATGTAGATATGTACTCATGTACTGCACACACCGCAGAAGAAAATCGCATCTATACTTATATTCAGAAATTTAAACAAAATAACGTTCTAAGTCACCCATGGGTCAAGTAAGAAATTAGAATAGACATTGGAAAATAGTTAGACCTGCAGAACTATGGAAATCCTCTCTGTCAAGGTCTGTGTTGTAGCTAAAACGATACCTAAAAGAAATTTATACTTCCAAAAATTATATATGCAAAATAGGTAAAAGGTAATTAATTAAAACTTTTAGGCCAGAACAGCAGGAGAAAATCTAAAGAAATGAGGATTGAATAATAAAGGCAAAGATGTGTGTGTGTGAGAGAATGAGAGAGAGAAAAAGGCTTAGAAAACAATGTTAAGAAAGGAAAGGAGACATGACTATAGTTTCAAAAGGATTGATAGGAATAAGGCAGTATGTATAATAAATATTCTAATAAATGGAAATTATTTACATATATCGAATGTTCAAAATATACTTTCTTAAACCCTACACAATAAGAGGTAGAAAACAGGGAGGCACTCTGAATGAGCTTGCTAAACATGAATGATACTGCAGCAACCTTTTAATCTGTTTCCACAAACAAATCAACTGGACCAGTGGATTTTCAGGTAAGCTGTATAAAATACCTAACAAGCCAATACTTCTAATCTTATAAAATATCTTTCAGGGAATAAAATAGAGGGGGAGATTGCTTCCTAATCTTTTTTTTTAGAGGATTGTGTAACCTTATAGCCAAACCACACAAAAAGAGTGCCTGACAGAAACATAACAGACCACTGCCACTCTTGACCATGTAAAAGTTCTAAATAAAACTTTAGCAAACAGCAACTAACAATGAATAAAAAACAGTGCATCGTGGCTGACATGAGATTGTTTTAGGAATGATTAATATTAGAACATCTATACATGTATTTGATCACATTAACAGACCAGATAAGGAAAGTAAATCCCAGTGGATACAATAAAAGCTTTCAATAAAACCTGGCAATCATTCATAGTGAAAACGCTTACTGAACTGTGAATAAAGGGGAGCTTCCTTACCTGGGTAAAGGAGAGCTTAAGAAAAAAAATCTATCAGAGAAACAGAATAGAAGGAAACTCACTCATATAAGGAAACATACTACATTAAAACAAAAACCAAATGAAAAAACGGGCAAAATAGATGAGTAGGAAAATTATAGTCTGTCTGAGAAGCAGTTGTGCTGTGGAAAGCCGGTCTCCTCATGGGATAAGAATGAAAAGGAAAGCTCATCCTGTATCGTAAACAAAAATCATTTCCAGGTAATTT